TAGAGGAGCAAGTTATGACATCAGTGGGTGGCAGCCACTGAACCGTGTACCTCCACCTGGAAGAAGCCAACTGTGAAAACCTCACACACACAGTCACCTGCTGCATAAAGATGTAACGGTCACGACAGATTGCATACGCAATGGTGGTCCCGTGAGATTGTAACGGGGCTGAACAACTCCCATCCCCTGGTGGCCCTGCAGCCAGCGCACTGTTGTAGCGCGATGCATTGCTCGGGTTTGGGTGATGCAGGTGGAAACACACCCATGAGCTGCCAGTCATGTGGGAGTCTGGCACACGCAGCACATCCAGTGCCTAGGACTGGATGATGACGATAAACGACTATCTCAATGGGTTTTGTGTTTACTGTACTATGCTGGTTGTGGTTATTTTAGAGTCTGCTCTTCCCACCTAAACAGAAAAGGTTACTTAGAACAGTGTGCCAGGCTGCGCTGCAGCCTCAGAGACCTCGTGGTGACCGCGTGTCTGGACTGCATCATTTCCCTTGCTCCTGATTTCACCTGGTGTTGTTTTGCCCATCACGGCCCCTAAGTGTACAAAGGCCGCTGCTATTGTTGCCCGCAAGAAGCCACATAGAGTGACTGATCCGGAAACAAAAGGATAAGGGATTAAGGACTACGAAGTGGGACAAGCAGTGATGGCTGTTGCTCACCAGTCAGCCATGTCCCATTCCACCACAGCGACGACTCTGAAGAGCAAGAACAAAGCTACGGAAGCTCTTAAAGGATCTACTTCACTGAAGGCCACGAGGCTGACGAAAATTTGAGAAGGGCCCATATCAGACATGGAGAAAGTTGTAATGACCTGGACTGCAGACCAGGCACAGAAGCGTACCCCTCTCACCACCGTGAAGATCGTGGCCAAAGGAAAAGCTTGTCCGTGATGTCGAAAGAAACACTGGACCCGCCTACAATGTTGAACGTACTGCTAACTCTGGGTGGTTCGTTCAAACTAGCCAAGAATCGTGATTTGTCACAAAATGAGAAAGTGAGCAGTGAGCCTGCGAGTGCCGATGCGAAGGCAGCTCAAGAATTTTGGGAAACTCTAGACGAGCTGATTGCGGAGGAAAACTTCCTGCCAGGGAACATGTTCAATATGGATGAAACCTCCCTACTCTGGAAGCAGGTTCCTGAAGGACTTCCATCCATAGGAGGCCACGTCTACGCCAGGTTTGAAGACTTTTCGGGACAGGATCGCGGTCTGGCGTGGGGGCGATGTTGCAGGCTACGGGGTGAAGCCCTTTGTGATCTGACGGAGTGGAAGCTCCAGGGCCTTCAAGCGCATCAGTCAGCATGGCTGCCAGTGTACCACAGGAGCCATGAGAAGCCGCGGACGACCAGCTCCTCTTCCAAGATGCCCTCCTGAATTCCTGAGCCAGCAAAATGCAGAAGTGCTGTTTGGAGAATAACACACCTTTCCCGATTTTGCTTATTGTTGGTAATGCTCCCGGACATCCTCCTTTTACTGGTGCTCTTCTTCCCAATATCAAAGCCGTGTTTCTGCCTCCAAACACCACCTCTTTGGTCTAATCAATGGATCTTGGAGTCCTGGCAGCCTTTAAAGCCACTACCTGAGGAGGACCTTGGCCCAGGCTCTTTCTGCAGCTAAGGAAGATGCTAAGAAGACACTGATGCAGTTCTCGAAGGATTGCACCCATGACAGCATCAAGAACCCTGCTTGGTGACATCACCAAGGAGTGAATAAATGGCATCTGGAAGAAGTCACTGAAGAGGCGCAGGGGTGGGGAAGGGGCTGGGATTCTGCTTGAGCCTATGGCAGGGACTCTTCTTCCCAGGGCGTGGGGACGCTATCTACACACTGGTGTGAGACACCCAGCAGCACAGGCGTGCAAGCTGAGCGACCCCACGCGGCTGTGGGGCTGCGGTGCGTGTGGCCTCACACCAGGTATGGCGGGAACCGCAGCTCCATCTGGCCCTCGGCCCCTCTGTGGGGACAGCTGGCAGAGGCTGGTCGGGGGGCCCGGGCTGCACCATCCTCTGCCTCGCAGGGCATCTGGTCCATCCTGCAGAGAGTTCTAGGCAATGCAAGGACAGGCTGGTCTTGCATTTTAACCATGAAAACGCTTTATTGAACTTTAAGAGGGGGGAACCGGCCTCCCACAGTGTCCTCCGGCCCCTCCTGGAGCAGCAGCTCTCGGGTTCGTGGAGCAGGCCCAGCGCCATCAGCTCGGCCTCGGGCTCACTGCCAGGTGGCCGCTCGGGGGCCCGGCGTCTGGCAGTCCCTGCCACCTCTGGGGCGGGAGGGTGGGACTGGCCCGCCTGCCCCTGCCACCCCCTTGCTGGGGTGGCCTGATGCTCCTAGAGCTGCCTCTGATCACCGATGTGGCCCTGTGGGGCATGCCCAGGCCCCAGGTGGCCACACACTCCTCAGAGAGACCTGGCCCTGCTTTGGCCAGAGACCAGGACTGGCCAGGGACATGGTGGGGTTCGGTCCCCACTGTCTTCATCCCGGCTGGGGGAGCACTCATGGTGCCCCTGTCTTCCCAGGACCTGGGTTCGGGCCAGGCCAGGCCCCTCTGTGGGAGGGGGGCACCGTCCTCCAGGAAGGCCAGCATGAAGACCTGGGGCACGCTGCTGCTGGATGCCGGGCGCTTCAGGGCCGTCGCCCTCTCCATCACACTCCCCTCTAGAGGGTGCCAAGCCTCCAGCTTCCTTGCAGACATGGAGGTCAGGGGGTGGAGGGGACAGTCGAGGCCCCGGGGCAGCTCGCTGGGCCCTGCCAGGGCTTCATCTCCACTGTGCCCTTCACCACCCTGAGAGGGGCATCGGCTGCAGGCGTCACAGGGCAGGAGGGGTGTCCTGGGCCCTGTGGCTTGGTCCTCGTCAGGCTGGATGGGGCCTGTCACTGGGGCCCCAGTGGGGATGCAGGGCTGAGCCTGTCCTGTGGCCCTGGGGGTGGCCCAGGCGAGCAGTAAAGGGAGAGACGCCCAGCGTTCCAGCTCAGAGCCCACGGCTGGGGGCCACCTGTCCGCGGCTTCGTGATTCCCTGGGAGGTTCGGGAGGGAAGTGAAACGCCGTGGCTGCAGCCGATCCCTAGAGCTGTCCTGGGCCGGGGGAAGGCAGGCCAGACCCGGAGCCTCTGGGGCCCCGAGAGAGGTGTGAGCAGCTGTGGGCCCTGTGGAGGCCCCTTCATTCTGTGGCTCCTCGGCCTCGGGGACAACCTGGGCAGGCGAGGGTCCTGGCTGCTCGTGCTCGACGGGTAGGTGGGGGAGGGCCAGCCAGGCCTCACTGGGCAGCTTCTCACAGCCGGGAGAGGCGAGGACAGGCCTGGGCTCCGGGGACGCTCGCTCCAGGCCCAGGGGCAAGGTGGGGAACTCCTCCGGTTTGGCTGAAAGTGAGCAGATTGGGTTAACTTCTGCATCAGGCCATCTGGCCCGTGCAGGGTGGGGCCCCGTGGTGTCCTCATGGCTCCCTAGGTGGCAGCCCTGGCCCAACACCGAGAACAACCGTCCGGGTGCTGATGCCGTGTCTGCAGCATCTGCCCTCACAGCCAGCCCAGCCTGGCTGCCGAAGCTTCTCAGAGCAGAAGAGGAGATGGGGGGAGGCCCTGGGGGCTCCCCACTTTTCACGGCCCCCAGATGGAGAGTTGGGAGGGGACCGGGCCTGTGAGCCCACCTGGGGGAGGAAGGTCACATTTCATCCTCTGCAGCTCCACCATCGAGGCCTGGAGGTGCCTGAGCACCGCGTCATCCTCCAGGGCCCAGGGCTGGCACAGCCCGTCCTGCAGGAACTCCCGCAGGCCTTCCAGAGGCAGCTTCAGGAGGCGTTCTAGGCAAGGGGGTGCGCGTCAGGCCAGGGGCTCACCCTGCCCCCCAGGCACCTTGTGTGGACGCGGCTGTGTTCTGGAGGGGCCACCACCCCTGGGGGTCCCGCTGGGCCTAGGAGGGCCACGGGCAGGATCATGGACCAGGAGGCCCTCGAGGCTTGGCCCACAAAGGCCCCGCCCCATTCCCACCACTTCTCAGAGGGTGCCCTGCCCTGGCCGGGCTGGAGCAAGGGCCACCACCCCTGGGCACACTCGGGCTTCACGGGCTCACTTACTTTTGTGCAGTTTGAGCACGGTGTAGGCCATGGCCGTGAGCACACGCTCACCCTCCAAGATGTAAGTGTCCCAGAGCTTCAGGGTGAGGGAGAAGGGGGTCTGTGGGGGACAGCAGGCATGAGGGCGCAGCTTTAGCAGAGCCACTGGGGTCCCAGCATGGGGTGAGAACCCCTTGTGCCTCTGGTCCCTGCGTCTGACAAGGTCCCGCAGCTCATCTGGGCGGACTCATCCCCATGGGGACATGGCTGCTGGACGAAGGTGCTCCCCGCCAGGTCACACAGGGACCTAAGGGGCTGGCCTGCGTGACTGCTGACCTGGCGGGCAACAGGGGTGGCCCCCCACCCAGGGGAACACACCTTAAAGGAACAACACTATCTGCAATGTGGGACAAAGGCTCGTCCACACCCTGGGCTGACCCGGCCTTCCCTCCAGAGCCCAGGTGGAAACAGCCCGGCCCCGGAGCCCTGAGGTGCCCATCCTGGAGTGGGATCTGGGCTCCCCGGGAGGGGTCCTGGCCCCATTCACCCCTCAGTAGGGCCTGGCCTGTCTGGGCTGAAGTTGAGCTCGGCCCTCCCTGACGCCGGGGGCAGGGAGCGTCCCAGGACGGGTCCCTGGCAGCCTCACCCGGCCTATGAAGCATTGCAGGAACCACTTGGCGGTGTAGATGCCGGTGCACATGTGCTCCTCGTCCTAAGGGAGGGCAGAGGGCTCAGGGCCTGCCTGGTGCGCAAACCTCCCTATGCGGGGCCTTTGCAGCCGCTCCCGGGGGCTGAGTGGTTGCTCCTCCCGAAGCCCCGCTCAGCCCCGGCTGCCCCTGGCCACCGGACGAGCAGGATGAGTCCAAACTCTCTAGGCAGCAGGGGCCTGGCCCCTCCCCAGTCCCCACCCTGGCCAGCGCCCGGGACGAGGCGGGACGCTCCTACTCACCAGTGCTGCTTAGCTTCGGGAGCCCTTTGGTGAGGACCTGCTCATGGTGGGCCTGGAACCTGAGCAGTTTCGGGAACCCCGGAACGAAGAAGCCTGAGAAGCCCCCGGCCCCGCCAATCAGAGCCGGATCCCAGCGGGGTTGGGCGCTGGCAGCTGCCCCCACTGAGCCCAAGGCCTCCTCTCGCCCACAGTGACCCCACATGCGCCCACGGCCTCCCTAATGCTGGCTGGACACCCTCTACCAGGGAGCAGAATGCCCTGAGGCCCGGGGTGGCCAGGGACAGGAGCCCCTCACGGAGGCTCACTTGGCTGGCGCCCTGTGCTGGGGGTCAGGCAGATGTCCCTGCCCCGGCATCCCCTCGGCTCCCCACTCCCCACAGCGGGGCCATGGGGGTCCCACATGGCCGGTGATGGGGTGTGCATGGCCATCTCCTGGGCTCGGGAGTCAGGCTGGGGCCTGCAGGAGGGGGAGACGCTGCCATCTGGGCTTTGTCTCGCCGTGGGCATGGAAGGAGGCTGGGCCGGGGGGCAGATGTGAGGAAGGACCAGCAGAGATGTAAGAATCGTCTGACGAGGACAGAGCCGGGGGCCGTGGCTACAGGACCGAGAGGGCGGCATGGGGCTGCAGTGCCCTCCCTGAGGGGACGTGGATGGGGTGGGGGTCCCCAGGCAGCCCTGCTACTGGGGGGCTGTGCAGGCAGACCCTCCTGGGCGCTAAGTCACGTCCAGCGGTCCGCAGCGCCCACCTACCATGCATGGCGTGCCTCTCGCTGACCATGAGCTGGGCCAGCGCCCAGAAGGCGTCCTCCTCGCCCAGGAACATTAGCAGGACGGCCACGACCTCGCTCATGCCCTGGCAGTAGCCCACCTCCTACAAGAGCCAGACCACATGGAAGGATGACCCGAGGCCGCCTCTCCCTGCCCTGTGCTCCCATCTCAGCGTCTAGGAGCCCCTGGACAGACCCCTGCCCGGCCCAGGCTCTCAGGGCCCAGAGGGGAGTGGAGGCTGGCATGGGGCCCCCGAGATGTCGGCCGGGAGACCCGCTGCAGCAGCTCCGGCGCCAGCACCACGGCAGCCCCGTGCCCGAGCTCTGGGGTGTCCCCCTGGGGTCCCCTTTCTCAGACGAGGGAGAGGCGCCTCCGTGAGGCCCACCAGGGTGACAGGGACCCGCGAGATCTGGAGACCCCGCCACGACTGCCGGCTGGAGCCTGACCGGGCGCAGGATGGCGGCTGGGCCAGACCCCGCTGTGGGCCACCCGTGGAGTCGGCTGAGCTGGTGGTTCTTGAGGGAAAGTTCTGGAAAGGGGAGCAGCCGCCCCGGGAGCCACCTCCCTATCTGCCTCACTCTTAGGGAGTTGGGTTAATGGGGACCTTCGTCCCTGCTGGTTTCTGATGAATAATGTGGTGGCTTCAGGATCAAAACTCAAGTGTGACGACAAAAGCGATGCCCCTGAGGCCCCACACTGACTGGTGACACAGCCCCACCGAGACGGGCGTCCGGCAGCCCCACTGAGCTCGTGGGCCGGGCAGCGCCGGGGGTGAGGGCTCCATTCTGGTCCTGGAAGTGGAGTCTGCGTCCAGCCCCGTCCGCCTCAGCGTCAGGGGAGAGAGCCCCTCGCTGCGTCTCTGTGACCCTGTGAGCTGGAGGCCTGACGCGTGCCTCCTGTCTGGTCACGGACACTCGATTTTAAGAGACAAGGACAGTGTGGGACCCTGGGCCTGGGGGCGGGATACTCACGGTGTTGTAAACAGAACAGGCTGCGAGCACATGGAACAGGGCTTGCTGCCTAGGAAAGGACGACAGGGGGCGGTGCTGATGCTGTCGGGTTCGTTCTGTGACAAACACCAACAACAGAACAGGTGTGGTTAAGAAGTCAGCCAAGAAGCTGACGTCTTCAGGGCGTCTCCGTGTTTAACAACATTTTGGGGTGAAGTCTACACGCGATGAAATGCAGATACCTCAGGGGGACAGTCTGATGAGTTTTTATCTTCATTCTTTGTCTTTTAGTTTGTGTACGTCAAAGTTCCATCTTTCACCATGCAACATTATTTTGTTTGCTGTTGTCACCTCCCTTCTCCTACAGGACTCATGTCCCCCAGGACCCCTGCATCCCATCTGGGACCCCCTTCTCCCCTGGGATCCCCCATGTCCCCCTGGGGACCCTGCCTGCCCAGTGGCCTCACTTGATGCCATAGCGGTCCCAGTACATGATATGGTCCCGGAATGTTCGGTTCACATCCAGGTCAATCTGTTTGATGTCATCTGAGAACAGCCTGGCCTGCTCCTTCATTCTCTGTGGGGGAACCAGGAGGAGGAGCCGGCATCAGAGACACAGAACACTCCCTGCCACCAGCTGCACCCTGAGCAGAGCGAGCGCTCCTGGCTGGAACCTGAGTTTTTCCGCAGGAACCTCATCTCTGAAGCCAGGGAGGGTCCCAAGTGCCCACCACGCCTGTGAGGCCCACGTGATGCCCAGCAGCCCCGGGGAGGGAACCCCGATGGTCAGCCCATGGGCTCCTCCAAGCCCAGACCCCCACCCATCAAATAGGCAGGTCCAGGCCCCTGACCGCTCTTCCCTGCCCTGCACGGGGGCCTGTCCAGGGTGACAGCGCCTGCCTGGGCTCTGAGCTCGCCCCCGGGAGGCAGCTCCCTGGAACCTGCTCCCAGGGCACCGGCCGCTCAGGGCCCTTGGGAGGCGGGAGGGCGGCTCGGCCTCGGCTCCCTGACACCCGCCTGAGTTCTGCAGCCAGACAGCGAGACGAGGCCACTCTCTCTGCACCCTCTACCTTCACCCGCTAGCTAATTCTGTTCACCACACAGGGATCCAGCACCAGCCCACCTGGCCAACCCTCAGGGCGCTGGGTGACTAGAGGGCTGCGGGGGCTCCAGGCCCGTCTGTGGCACCCGCTCCCATTGCCCTGATCTTAAAACTGCCCAGGGGGCGCACGGAGCCCCATGGCCCTGACACCCCCACTTTCAGCCCCCTGGTTATGGAGGCAGAGAAGCATCCTTGGGGTTCCATGCAGGCCTCCCTGAGCCGCGTGTTTCCCACTTTAAAGCTCCTTGTGCTCAAGTGGAGGAACGCTTGGCCTCTGCATCTCCCCTGACCCACCGACTTTCTACATCAGTTACTCATTCTGACTCGTAGGTGTCTGCAGAATGTCTTGAGTTTCTGTCTGTGATCAGATCACCTGCAAGCGAAGGTCATTTTGTTTCTTATTCATCTGTGTGATGGTTTTTTTTAAATTTTCTTGTCTGACTGTATGAGTTAAAACTGCCAGAGCAATTCTGAATCAGTGGTGACAGCAGATGGCTCCGGTTCATCTGATGTGGATGGAAATGGCTCCAGCATTTCCGGCCCCTCAGAATATTTGCTGTTGGTTTTTCTTCAACAATTTTAGAAATACTCAGTTTATTTCTATTCTTCTATTTCTCATGATTTTTACCAACGGAGAAGTGGCTGCTGAATTGTATTCACTGGCTTTCTGAATCCGCTGATGTCATGGATGACTTTCCCCTTTTACGTGTCCACGTGCGGTTTGGTCCCCACGGGCTGGCTCTGGAAGGCACCGTCCTGGGTCATGGGGTCATTCCTTTGAGATCCTGTACGTCTCCCCTGCGAGGATCATATCTAGACTCGTGCATCCACGGCGAGTGTGCGATGGATGGAAGGTCTTCCCCGGGCACTCTGCACGAGGCTCTGAAGTGGGGCCGAAGCGTCACAAAGATGGAGCGTCCCCTTCGCCCGACCTGAGCCCGGGCCGAGGAGCCGCGTCCACTGTACTGGGAGCAGCAGCCTCCACGGACGGCGCTCTTGGCTCGGCTCCGCTTCTCCTTCACCTCAGGCTTCTCTCCTCCCTCCACACCGGGCCAATGCTGCTGGGGAAATCCTCTGTTCAAAGGCCGCCCTGAGCCGGGGCACGGCCCCTTCCCTGTAGTTCTCTGAGCCCGTCCTGCCTGCGGCCAGGCCCGCTTCCCTGAACGCCCCGCACCCTCCCCTCTCTCCCTTACTCAGGCCCGGGAGAAGTTTAGCTGTAAAACTGGTTTTTCAAAGGACCAGTTCCTGGTTTTATTTATCTTTTCTACATCTTTTGGGTTTCTATTTCATTTTGCATTTTTAAACTCCCTCTTATTCTTTTCCTAATTTTTTAAAAAATTTTAAGGTTGAATACATAGTTTGTTAATGTCTGTTTTTTAGAAAATAAAACACTGTTTTGGGGGGCTTCTCATGGTCTGTTACATAATTTGTCGTTCCAATTTTCATGTCCTTGGGTCTAAAGTTTTGGTGCTATGGTGAACAGGACATTTTTCTTATAACATTTACACAGTAGCTGGTCAATAAGACGATGGTTTCCCTGGTGTCCGTGGCACACTGTGTAATACAAACTACAACCGTGTGTGCTGTGCGGAGTGACCACCTGCTCCTTCAGTCCCCTCTCCTGTGGCCGACTGGGCTCTCGGCTGAGTCCCTCGTGTCCCTACATACGGGCAGCGGCAGCTGTGGGGCAGTTTGTCTGGGTTTTCACCCGAATCCGGCTGCATCTGGCAGGCTCCTGGTCACGAGTTCAGAAGCGGACTCGGCTGTCAGGGGCTCGGGGGAGTCTGGGCAGCTGTGCAGGGAGCCTGGGGGCCCGGATGTGGGAGCAGGCGGGTGCGATGTCAGTGCTGCCCCTCCGCTCCCGGGAAGGAGCTGGCCTCGCCTGGCCCTGCACGGGGCGGCGGGAGGGGTCTGGGCTCAGCCCCCGCTCTTCTCTCCACACCTCCTTCCCTGTCTCCTGCGGGACCACAGGGACACGCTGCCTGCTTGACAACTACAGCCTCCTCTCGTCCTGGTCTGTGGGGCCCTTGGAGGGTCTCACGATTGAGCACGATGCTGGCTGTTGTTCCACAGTCGTCAGCGGATGCACACGTGTGGACATATTCACCACATAATTCCCGGCTGCTTGCTGAACTGTGACCCCATCACACCCCCTCGGGCTGCATCTCCCCGTGTCCAGGCTTTGCTGTGCCGGTCCCACTCAGTCTGGGCGCATCGCTGCCCTGCATAGTCAAGTGTGCACAGAGCCCCCTCCCTGGGCCATGTGACCTGGGGGACCCTCGGGTGGAGACAGGGCTGAGCCTTGGGAACCAGCCGGGTGCCGGGTCCCCGCTGGGGGGACAGGAAAAGACCAGTTCCTGGTCCCATTAAGTCTCTTCCTTTCTACCCAACGGCGCTCCTGTCTGTGATTTCGTGGGTTTGGTTGCTTTCCTCATTTTGTGGGTCCTGTGGGTGTGCTTCCTTGCTCTTTCCCTGGTTTCTGTCCTTTGCTGTGTGACTGTCCCCTACTCAGGGCTGTGGGCCGTAGTTGGATTCATGTGGCGTCTGTCTGTCTCTGGCTCCAGTGTCTGCACTGGGTCAAGCTGAAGGTAATGGAGGCCCAGGCAGTGGGGGGACGGGCAGGGCCTTCCTGGCGGGAGTGTCCTGGGCCCGTGAGTCCAGTACGGGCCAGGAAAGAGCTGAGGCCAGGTGAGAGGGTCCCATGGCGCATGACCACCCGCCGGCTCCCCCAGCTCCTGAAAGGCCGGGCCTGTGGGCGCTGCCTCTGCCGAGTGTGGAAGGGCCGTACCTCGTATTTGCCTTTATTCTCCGCCTTCACCTTCTCCAGGTCCAACAGCAGCGACCACACTCGACCCCGCACCTGCGGGGGGATCCCCTTAAAGACCCGCTTGTGCATCTACGGGAAGCAGAAAGCTCTGGTGACCAGGCCGCAGGGCGACCCCGCGCACGAGATGGAGTGGGAGGCATCTGGAAGATTCTGGCCTCTGGCTCCGTGGTTCTGTGACCAGGACCCAGGCCCAGAAAGGGTTACGGAGGGTCTGGGCAACAACTGACATGGTCCCTCAAACGTCTTTCAGACAAGAGGCAGCTCTGTGCTCTGCTTTGCCGAAGCTGGTGTCCCCGTTTGGCAGACGTTGCTGTCTCGCACAGACACTCACGTATTTGCAGCAAGACCCCTGCCAACGGTTCAGCACCAAGCGTCCTACAGCCACTTTCTCTCATTAACGTCCTAAATTCTCCCGCTGAGAGGGCCAAGCAGCCGCTTTTGGAGCAGGTGATGCAGCAGGAGCGAGTTTACCTGCTCTGCACACCCTAAATGGCCACAGTTGTTACAAATAAACTTCTCCTCCGCTCTTGTGTATAACGTCTCCACAGGCACCGAGCTCGGGGAGACGCTGCTCTGGGAGTCCCTGCTGTTCTCCAGCGCTCGTGCAAGCGAGAAACCTTTCTCCCCTACTTCTGCTTTGGTGGGCTTTTTGGCTCCGCACTCACCAAGAGACAAACCCACTGGGTTCGGTCACAGTTTCTCGGGAGACAGTGGGTCTACCTAGACCTGGGCCCCGTCTCCCACAACTAGGAGTGGACGAGGCCTCAGGGGACAAGGTGGACAGCGGTCCCGGCTTATCCATCCCATCGGGGCCCTGCCCTGGGGTGGCCTTGGCTCTGGCCTCAGATTCTCTCCAGGTGAGGTGACCCTGTGGGGTGGGCAGGGAGGCTGTGGGCTGCCCTGGGGACACAGGCCCGTGGTCCTTTGGGCTCAGGACAGGGTGCAGCCTGCCAAGCGCTCAGGTCCTACCTTCTTGCTGCCTTGGTACTGCCCCCAGTCCCTCAGCATCTTCAGCCACTTGTCGGCTCGCCTGATGTCTCGGCATTTGTGCTGGGAAATGAGAAATGGTGGTGAGAGCCCAGCTGCCCGCTTCCTAGAGGGGCCCTAGTGCATCAGGTCACATCAGGTGCCCTGACATGAGGGAACTCAAAGGGGCCAGAAAAGGCGCCGACCCTCTCCCACAGACCCCCGGGCCTGCCCCGGTCCCAGCCTCGAGGTGGGGTCCTGGTGGCTGGCAGGCAGTGAGCCCTAAGCTGGGTGTGAGGTTCTGGGACAGGTGGGTTCAGTAAACAACGTCCCCTCAGGACAGTTCTGGGATCGGGGGTGGCAGGAACCGCGGGCCTGCACCCACGGCCACCTCCCGCCTGCGCAGCAAGGCCAGGCTCTTACCTTCGCCTCCTGGGTGGTGAGGCGGGGCAGCTCCTTCTCACTGGAAGGCAAGAGAAGCAGAGCCCTGAGGCCCTGCACCAGGCCAGGGGACACAGAAGGACAGGGCCTGCCCCCAGCCCCCAAGTCTGGGCCCTGGATTCTGCGGAGGGAGGGCTGACCTAGGAGGGAGCCCAGACACAGGGCAGAGGAGGGCAGGGCGGCCAGGTGCCTGTGGCTGGAGGCAGAGCCCTCCTTGGGTGCCTGAGAAGGGCCAGTGCTGGTGCGGGGGTGGGCTGCGCCCAGACAGCAGCCCCACAGGAGGTGACCTGCCATTGTCCTGGGGTCGGGCTGGCCTGAGAACCACCGGGTGAGCCAGGGTGCCCCCTGTGGCTATCCTGCTGAGGTCTGCACACCTCCCACAGGGTCTGCCTGTCCAGCGTCCAGCCTGCCTCTCCCTCCCCGGCCGCCCACCCTCCTATCCCTGATGTCACCCATTTCTCGTCGTCACTTCAGCTACTCGGGCCCACCTTTTAACGCTTGTGCTGTCAGAACCTCTGAGCAGGACCCGCCCCTGATGGGTCCAAACGGCTGCTTGTCCACTGGGTGATGGGCAGTGACTGAGGCCCGCGGGCAGCCAGATTGGCCCCACACCATGTCTGCAGCCTCTGGCCCTTCCAGGCAGTGTCACCACATGGCCTGCTGCACCCTCCACCTTCATGCTGCACTCCCACGGCGCCTCCTCTCCGTCCTCCCTCCACCTGCCAGGCTGCTCCTCCACTCTCCGTGCTCCACACCCTCCCTCCCCTCCTCTCCTGATCAGGCACCTCCTCGCTGGCTTCTCCCCTGCAGGTCTGACTGGTGGTGTCTCCAGAGAGCACCGCAGAGAACTTGGGGCTGACAGAGGCCCTGGCTCAGGCGTCTCAGGTGAGTGCCTCCCCCGGGCCTTGCCCTGCTCTGGGCTGTCCTCCCCCAGAGAGGAGGCCCCATCCCAGGAGCCCAGCAACTTCGGTCCTGCCCCAGGCTGGCTCCGTCCAGGGGCACATGCCCCACCCAGTCCCATCTCCCTCCAGCCTCCTCTCCTCTCTGTCGCCACCAAGGCCCGGCCTCCATCCCCAATCTCCTCCCAGCCCCAGACCGGGGGTCAGGCCGTCTTCAGCTGCCTTCCAACTCCGCCTGCCTCTGTCCCCTTCCCAGGAGGTTCCCAGGCCAGGTCCTGTCTGAACGCGCCCCCTGCCTATCCTGTCAATGCCAGAGGCCACATCCCTGGCTGCCCCTTGTGCCTGTGCCCATGTGGCCGCTACACTGGAACCACCTGTGCCCTTGGAGACCTGCTGGACAGCTGCCCACAGGCTGGGCCAGGCGCCCCTCACTCTGTGGTCACACCCTGTGGAGCCACTGCTGGCCAGGCTGGACGTGCCCTCTGACTGTGGGTGGACACCATCACGCCCTCCCTCATGCAGGCGTGGAGGCCACACTGCTGAGTGTCCCAGCCCGGCCAGGGCCCTGCTCCACCCCTGCCCACCATCGAGGCCCCTTCTGGTCTCTCAGCTGGAGCCGACTGTAGACCCTGGACTGCAGTGGGCACCAGGGGACGAGGCTCTGAGCTGGGGAGACGGGTCCTGCCTCCAGAGAGGTGTTTCCACCAACAGAAACCATCCCTGAGATGAAAAGAGCGGGCGTCCAGGTGACTCACTGCAGGAAACCGAGGCGGTCGGTGACCTTGGAAAGGGGAGCTCGGGGTCTTCCTGCGGATCCACTGGAACCCCTGCCTGGCGTCCCTGCAACCCAGAGGGGGCAACGTGGTGAGGGCGCGCCAGAGCCAGGGACCAGGGGCAGGAGGGCACAGGGCGGCTCCTCCCTCCCCTGTCCTGAGGGAGCTCTGGAACCTGCGACAATGGGCACAGACTGAGGGATGAGGACGCACCTTCCCGAATGGGAGCAGCCTGACAGCCTCCCCTGCTCCTGCTGTGTGATCCCCCTGGGCCACCTGCTCCGCTGTGTGATCCAACCTGGGCCCCACCGCTCCTGGAGCTGTGATCCTTATCTGGGATATCAGTGCTCCTGCAGTGTGATCCCACCTGGGCCCACCTGCTCCTGCCGGCCATGGTCTGCCCCCGGCCGTACTGCTCCTAGAGCTAGGATCTCCTCCTGGGCCCACCTGCTCCTTGAGCTATGATCCTTATCTGGGACATCAGTGCTCCTACAGTGTGATCCCCTGGGTCCACCTGCTCCTGCAGTGTGATCCACCTGGGACCCACCTGCTCCTGCTGTGTGATCCCACGGGACCCACCTGCTCCTGCGTATGATTCCACCACTGGGTCCCACCTGCTCCTGGAGCTGTGATCCTCACCTGGGACATCACTGCTCTTGCTGTGGGATCCCACCTGGGCCTCACCTGCCTCTGCTCCCTATGATTCTCGCCTGGACCTCACCTGCTCCTGCCAGCCATGGGGGCCCCTCCGGGCCGTACCTATTCCTAGAGCTCGGATCTCCTCCTGGGCCTCACCTGATCATACTGGGCAATTATTTTTGCTCTTTCCAGGGCCAGCAGGGTCTCTGGGTCTTCCTTCATGTCTAATATGCAAGACAAAAAAATCCAAATGTAGCACCGCACTCAGAGCTTCAGAGAGCAACCTGTGTGCCCCGCTGCCAGCCCCCCGGTCTGTCTGATCAGAGAGCGGGCAAACCCGCAGGCAGGGCGGGCGGCATCCGGCTTGGCGGAACACAGGTTCACACTCACACTTTCTCGCACTCCCGCTTAGGGGCTACCCTCCCAGCCCCCTGGGACTTCTGTCCTCGTGAGATCAGAGTTCTCGTCAGCTTATGAGGAGGGAGAAGGTGGACCCAGGGGCTCAGATGACCTGCTGACCGGCAGCCTGGTGTGCACGCTCCGGGCCCAGGGTGGCACTGAGCAAAGGAGTGTGCGGCTGCTGGCCGATGATTCCCGCAGGCGCACTGGGAATCCGACTGTGCTCTGAGACACCAAAAGCACAAGCAACACAAGAGCAGATGAGTCAACGGGACGCCAGCAACACGCAAACTGCTGTGCTTCAGACAACACCACCGAGGAGTGCAGAGACGGCCCGCACGAGGAACGAAGATGTCTGCCAATCACCTGTCTGATCAGGGCCTGCTGTGCAGAATATATAAAACTCCCCAACAAACGACAAATAGCCCAATTCGAAAGAGGACAAAGGTCGGAGGGACATTTCTCCAACGTGATGTACAAACGGCCGACAAGCCCGTGAGGAGGTGCTCAACGGCACTGGCCCCCAGGGAAATGCAGACGGAAACCATGAGACCCCACTTCCCGCCCACTGGACCGGCTCTCACCAACGGATGGACAGAACGAGTGTGGGGGGGAGAGGACCTGGAGCCTCCGCGTTGCTGGTGGGAATGTCAAATGGTGCAGCTGCTGCGGAGACCGGTTTTGTGGTTCCTCAGAAGTTACACGTAGAGTTACCACGTGACCCAGCAATTCCACTCCTAGGCACTCGCCCAAGGGAAGTGAACACTGGTCCTCAAGCCAATATTTGCACACGCGTGTTCATGAAGACCTTCTCACAGTTGCAAATAGGTGGAAACAATGTGAGCTTCCATGCACGGATGAAGAAACAGACACAATGGGCTCCACTCTGTGCAATGGAGTCTTACCCACCACAGAAAGGAGTGAAATCCTGCTCCTGCTACAGCACGATGGACACGGTGCTGAGCAAAAGAAGCCAGACACAAAAGACCCATGTTACAGGATTCCACTCACGTGAGATGTGCAGAATAGTCAGACCCACAGAGACAGAGAGGGGTCGGTGGTCGCCAAGGGCTCGTGGAGGGAGAATGGGGGTACCTGCTCACAGGCAAGAGAGTTCTTTATGGGGCCCTGAAATGTCGTGGAAATAGTGGTGAAGGTTGCACAGCTCTTAAATACTCTGAAAACCACTCAACTGCCTACTTTAACAGCTGAGTCTGATGGTTGGTGACGTTAGGAAAAGCTGCTCTCAGAGCTGGGCTCCCACTGGCTCAGCCCCGGGACCGCGACAGGGGAGCTGGGAAATAGCATGGAGACTGAGAGAGCCGTCAGAGGCGCTCCTGGCCACAGAAGCCCCTTTGCTCCTGCCCTCGTAGCTCCTCCCTGGGCCACACCAACCCGGGATGTCCCCACTGTGGGGGTCTGGAGGCCAGAGGCCCCTGGCTCGAGCCTCTGGGAGCTTCCACAGACCAGGTCACACCCGGTCCTTCACAGGACACGAAACTCCCACATTGATGCCATCCACTTAACTGTAACTGGTTCTGGCTGGTGAACGAGCTTAGACAACACCACCAGCCAGTTAGGCGATAGGAGATTGGGTGTGAGGAAAGGATCACATGTCTGACCTCCAGCCACCTCTGTGCCTGTGAGACCTTCTCTCAAGTGGAGGGACCCCGGGTTCCTGGATCTGACTGGGCACCAGAAGGAGGGGCTCCATTTCCCCCTCACATGGAAGGAAAACAGCAGCTGGGACAGGAGGGCCTGTAAGCTTCCAGAACCAGGGGCCAGGGCGATAAGCCTCTAGAGAAGCAGGGACAAGGTGACATTGGGGGAGGCCTCGTGCCCAAGCCCCACCCTGCAGGACAGATGATCATCAGCGGGCTGTGTGTCCAGAGTCACGAGAGGCTGTACAGTGGAAGGCCTCAACACTAGCATCACACAGGGCAGGGGTCAGAGAGAGCAGGTGGGCTTGGCTAGTATCCCGGCTCTACGTCAACTGCAGCCAAGGACAGGGGCGGCGCGGGCAGCACCTCACACGAAATCCGTGGAAGGCTGTCTGAGCCCGGCAATGCATGAGGACTCGGGGTTTGGTGTGACCTTGTCTGGGGTTTGGTGTGAACTTGGGGGCGCTGTCGTTCCACCCGACAATGGGGCCCCTGGGTCAGCGTGCGGGTCAGCGGAGCTGGGCCCGAGTTAGCCCTTAACCCCTGAAGGTCAAGGGCCCCAGGCGGAGGGTCCCGTCACCACGCAGGGACGGGTCAGGAGGGAGAGGAGTCGATGCTAGTGTTCAGGCCTTTCACTGTACAGCCTCTCGTGACTCTGGACACACAGCCCGCTGATGATCGGCAAAGCACCCGGGCGCACATGACCACGGTCCCCTGGGGGATGAGCCCCGTCCCCAGAACCCTGGCCATCCTTCCCTCCTCCGCTCCCCCCTGCCTGTTGGCTGTACGTGGAGCCGACTGGCGTCCATGTTGCACACCTTCCGTCTGCAACTCAAACTCAGTACAGCACGTTCCCACACCAGCCTCATCCAGCTTCCCCGCGGTTTCCAGTCTGACGACCGACCCAGGCCTCACAGGGCTACGACCTCCACTGGGACCCCACCCTGGCCTCTCACTGCCTGCTCTGGGCCTGCCTGGGGCCTCTGCTCTTCCTCTCTCCTCCTGCTCCATCCTCCTTCACCCTGCCCCTGCATCCTCCTCCACCCTCCTCCGCCTGCCCTTTCTCATCTGCCCTCCTCCTCTCCCTCTCCCTCTCCTCCTCCAACACGCGCCCCCTGCTCCGCTCTCCTCCATCCTTCCCCACCCTCCTTCATGTCCTCCAGCCTTCCCGTCTGCTTCCTCCAGCTTCACATCCTCTTTCTCCTGGTTCTCCTTCGGCACCGTCTCACCCGCCACCTCCGTCCATCTCGTCCCCCTCCTGGGCCGCCCTCCCCATCCTCTCTCATCACTCCTTGATCCTCCTCCTCCCACGTTCGCCATCCTCCTTCTCTCCTCCTCCACGTCCATCCACCATTTCTCTCCTACCCCTGGATCTTCCTCCTCCATGCTGCCCAGTCATCCTCCTCCTCCTCGTTTCAAAGGGACTCCAACCTCTTTCATACTCCTCCTGTCCCTACTGCCCTGCTCCACCCTCTCCTCCTCCACCTCCTCCACTATCCACCTCATCCTCCTCCTTTTGGTCCTCCCCACGCTCTCTCATCACTCCTCAGTCCTCCTCCTCCTCCTTCCATCTCCCCCATCCTCCTTCTCCTCCTGCCCTTCCAGCTACGTCCTCCTTCCTCCTCCTGCGTCTTCCTTCTCCATCCTCTTCCATCCTCCTGGTGCTACTCAATCATCCCCATCCACCCACTGCATCCACCCCCTCCTCACTCATCACTCCTCTCTCCTCCTGCTCCTCCTCCTCGACTCCCCTCGTACATCCACCCCCTAACCCTCCTCCTCCTCCTCCTCCTCCATGTATTCCTCCATGTTGGTCAACCGTCCTCCTCCTCCAGCTCCATCCTCCTCCACCTTACTCCCCTTCCACCCTCCCTACTTACCTCTCCTCCCTTCCTCCTCCCCTCCATCCTCCCTCTCCTCCATCCTGCAGATCATCCATCCTCCCCCTGTCCTCTGCATCCTCCTCCTCTACCTCCTCCGCGACTGCCTGTCCTCCTCCTCCTCCTCTCCTCCTCCTCCTCCTCCTCCCCTCTTCCTCACCTATTCTCCTCCACCCTTTCCTTCGGCTCCTCCATCTGCATCATCCCTGCTCTCTTCTTCCCTCCCCTCCTCCTCCGGCATCCCTCTCCTGCTCACCCATCTACCCCAGAATCTCCTCCTGTTCTCCTCCTCCACCACCCTCCTCCTCTTTTCTCCTCTATCCTCCTCCCTCCTCCTCTCTCTCCCTCCTCCTCATCCTACCCCTCCTCCACCTGCAATCTCCTCCTCCTCCTCCATCGTTCCCCATCCGCCCCTCCCTCATCTACTCACCTCCCTCTTCCTCTCCTCCTCCTCCTCTCCCTCCTCCACCTCGGGCCCAGTTGTCCAACCTCTGACCTCAGCCTCCTCCCACGGGCAGGGGCAATGCGAGCAGCACCCTCACCCCATGGACCGGGACGGCTGTCTGAGCCCGGCTCTCCATCGGGGCTCGGGGCTCGGTGTCACCTCGCCTACAGCCAAGGAGGCCCGTGGCACCACCCCTGGCGGCCACTGTCCCCAAAGTCACGCTCACCTGACTGACCAGTCGCGGGCGCGAGCTGCGCCTCCTCCACGAACTCGACACTCGCGTCGAGGTGGGCAGTGCGAGACGGCAGAGCCGCTCACAGAGGGCACAAGTGCCTCCAACTGCTAGGGACGAGAGCAGACAGGTTGCCGGGCAGCGGGCGGAACTTGGGGGCGCTGCCGTTCCACCCGACAATGGGGCCCCCGGGTCAGCGTGCGGGTCAGCGGAGCTGGGCCCGAGTTAGCCTTAACCCCTGAAGGTCAAGGGCCCCAGGCGGAGGGTCCCGTCACCACGCAGGGACGGGTCAGGAGGGAGAGTGTCAGCTCAACACTGGTCGGCAAAGCACCCGGGCGCACATGACCACGGTCCCCTGGGGATGAGCCCCGTCCCAGAACCCTGGCCATCCTTCCCTCCTCCGCTCCCCCTGCCTGTTGGCTGTACGTGGAGCCGACTGGCGTCCATGTTGCACACCTTCCGTCTGCAACTCAAACTCAGTACAGCACGTTCCCACACCAGCCTCATCCAGCTTCCCCGCGGTTTCCAGTCTGACGACCGACCCAGGCCTCACAGGGCTACGACCTCCACTGGGACCCCACCCTGGCCTCTCACTGCCTGCTCTGGGCCTGCCTGGGGCCTCTGCTCCTCCATCTCT